GTCCGGCGACGGCAGTTCGCTGTCCTCGGACGGCGGTTCCAGCCCGACCCCCACCCCGTCGCCGACCCCCGCCGCCGCGTCCCCGTCTTCCTCGCCGGCTGCTGCGGCGTCTGCGTCAGCCACAGCCTCGCCGTCAGCCACGCCAACAGTCGCCGCCTCCCCTGCACCGTCCACCGCGACGCGTCGCATGCTTGCGGCGGCGGCGGCGCCTGTTGCCGTGGCAGCAGCAGCCCCGGCGGGCCTGCCGGCCGCAGCGGCGCCCGTCCGCGTGGCCGCCCCGTCTCGCCCCCGCATGCTGCAGGCCTCTCCCACCCCGTTCCCGGCCTCGGACGTGACTCCCGCGCCCCAGTTCGAGCCGGCCTCGTACTCGGACCAGAACGTCGTGCCCCAGGCCGCGGCTTGCTCTTCCAACTGCATTGAGTTCCGCGCCCCCGTGATCACCAGCATTTCGATGCGTGACGGTATCGCGGCGGACCGCGCTGCTGACGGAGGGGAGCGCGAGCTGGTCGCGCTCATCGTCGAAGGCACTCCCTCGGTGTCGATCGAGCTGCCCACCCACGCGTCGGTGCTCGTGTTCAAGGGCACGGACTTCGGCCTTCGCGGCATGGTGGTGCTCCGGCCGCGCGTTGGCTCCGGCGCCTCGCCCATCATCGTGTACCCCGACCCCGCGGCGGGCGACTGGACGTCCACGCAGGTGACGGCCCGTCTCCCGGGCAGCGAGGGCCACGGCTGGACCGTGGAGCTGTGGCAGGGCGTGACCGTTGCGGACGCCAACCGCGGCCCGCAGATGCAGTCCTCGCCCGCGACCATCAGCCTCAGCTACCGCTACCCCACGGTCTCGCTCGCCACCCCGCTCACCATCGGCACTGCTGGCGGCGAGGTCGTGACGGTTGTGGGGCGGAACTTCGGCGTGAGCGGCCCCAGCCTCTTCGTGCGCTTCCCCGGCGGCTCCTGGGTGGCGGCGCCTCTCGCAATGGCGGGCTCCTCGTCTTCGGCCGACTTCGGGCACACGCACGCCCGCTTCGTGGCGCCGGAGGGCCAGGGCGCCGCAGCCGATGTGGAGCTGATGGTCGAGGTGGACGGCCGCCAGATGCCGCTCGCCCTCCGCGGCGTGTTCGGCTACCGCGCCCCCCGCCTGCAGTCGGTGTGGCCTCGCTCTGCGCCCACGGAGGGCGGCACGGACGTGGTTATCCGCGGCACGGACCTCGGCCGGTTCGGCGACCTGCTGCTGCAGTGGCAGGGCGACTTCGGGGCCCCGCAGCAGACGAACTGGACCGTGCTGTCGCACAACCACACCGTCATGGTGGCCCGCGTCCGCGCCGGCGCCGGCGTGAACCGGTTCCTGAAGGCCAGCATCTCGGGGCAGACGAACCCCGACTCGGACCTGCTGTGGAGCTTCTCCCCCCCGCGCATCGACGACATCTCGCCGCGCAGCGGCCCCACGGTGCCCGACGTGCGCAAGGGCGACGAGACCAGGCTGACCGTGACCGGGTCGTCCTTCGGTGTGCGCGGCGGGAAGCTGACCATCGACGGCAAGCTGTGCGAGATTGTGTCCCACACCCACACGCAGATCGTGTGCGAGATCCCCAGCGGCATGTTCGCGGACCGCGTGGTGCGCTTCCAGAACGACGACTCGGTGCCGTCCGGCGTGTCCAACGCGGCCTTCTACCGCGACGCCCGGTGGTCCACGACCAACGCGTCCTTCTCGTACGACCCGCCCGCTGTCACCGGCGTGGACCCCAGCCGTGCGAACGCGGAGGGCGAGCCGCGGTTCGTCATCTACGGCCGCAACTTCGGCCCGCTCCAGACCGAGACGGCAGTGATGGTCGGGTCGCAGGTGTGCGCCAACGCGTCCTGGACGAGCGACGAGCAGATCAGCTGCGCCATGATGCGGGACCGCGCTGGCCGCAAGAACCTGACCGTGGACGTGGCCGGACAGCGCAGCTACTTCTCCGAAATCGACTTCCGCGTGCGCGTGACGCTGGTGTGCCAGGTGGCGTGGTACGGCATGCCGGGAGAGTACTGCCTGCCGTGTCCCGTGGGCGCCCTCTGCGACGAGAACGAGATCTACACGCCTGCGTCGGAGCCCGGCTTCTGGCGTTTCGACTTGATGAATGCCCGGCCAAACGCGAGCGCGCAGGCGGAGAAGGCCGCCGGCAAGGAGGTGAGCGACGACTCCCTGTGGGTGTACGACGTGAACGGCGGCAAGGGCAACGAGAACTGCCCCGCTGAGCGCCGCACCACGCGGCCGTCGTGCCAGGTGTACCTGCCGTGCCAGCCCGCCAAGTCCTGCATCGGCGACAACAAGTGCGCCGCCGGCTACACGTCCGAGCGCTGCGCCTCCTGCTCCGAGGGCTACTACCGCCTGGACGGCGAGTGCGAGGTGTGCCCGCAGAACCCGGAGCTGATCATCCTCGGCTTCATCGGCCTCGGCATCGTCGGCGTCGCCGCGGCCTACATGGCCCAGCGCAGCAACATCAGCATGTCCATCGGCATCATCGCCGTGGACTTCTTCCAGGTGCTGGCCATCTTCGCGCGCAGCAAGGTCAACTGGCCCGAGCCGCTCCGCGTGCTCTTCCGCATCCTGTCCGCGTTCAACCTCAACCTGGAGCTCACGGCCCCCGAGTGCCTGGTGGAGAGCTTCGGCGCCGTGGAACGCTTCATGGGCACGCTGCTCATCCCGGTCATCGCCGGCAGCATCTTCCTGCTGATCCACCTCGTGAAGCTGGCGTACAAGGTGTGCGTGAAGCGCGTGGACAAGGAGGCCCGCAACGCGCACCTCCCGACCATGATCGCGGCCTTTATCGCCATGTTCTACTTCCTCTACCTCTTCCTCTCCCGCACCGTCTTCGAGGTGTTCAACTGCGCGCCGACGGACCCGTCCGACGGCAAGACGTACCTGCAGATGGTGTTCGAGGAGTGCGGCCTGCCCGGCGGCGTCCAGGAGACGCTCATGCCGTGGGCCGTGCTGGCGCTCATCTTCTACGTGATCGGCTTCCCGGTCGTGTCCGGCTACTTCCTGTTCAAGCACAAGAACGACATCAAGAAGGACCAGCTCCTGTTCCTGGTGAAGCTGCCCGAGGGCAAGGAGGAGTACGAGCGCGCCGCCCGCGAGCTCAAGGTGTACCGCCTGCGCAAGTACATGGGCCGCCTGTACCAGTTCTTCGTGCCGGGCAAGATCTACTGGGTCGAGATCATCCTTGCTCGCAAGTTCCTCATCTCCATCTCCACGCTGCTGTTCCAGCAGACGCCCACCTTCCAGTTCGCCATGATGCTGCTGGTTCTCTTCGGCGCCTACGCGCTCCACGTGAAGAATGTGCCCTACCTCAACGTGTCAGAGCGCGACGCCATCCTCGCCAAGTGGCGCGACGAGAAGGGCTCCGCCAAGCAGGAGGAGATCAAGCGCCTCGTCGCCGGCGCCAACCGCAAGGCGACGCGCCGCAGCTCCATGGCGGCCGAGCGGCCCAAGTCGATGGTGCAGCACACCACGATGGAGGTGCAGAAGTACATCTACAACTACAACACCATCGAGGCGGTGCTGCTCTTCGTGGCCGTGCTCACCTGCCTCTCTGGCATCATGCTCAACTCGTCCCGGTTCGAGTCCGCCTACTACGCCTCGCAGCGCGACACCATCACCGGCATCATCATCGCCATCATCGCCGTCACGCTGCTGTACGTCTTCTCCGTGGTCGTGTTCGAGGTGATCAAGGTGGTGCGCCCCGAGCTGTGCGGCGCAACCGTGGTGCCGAAGAAGGGCAAGAAGGGCGCCGCTGGCAAGGGCGCCGCAGCTGGCGGCAAGGTCTCGCTCGAGGCCGAGACGGAGGACAAGCTGGACATCATGGCCAACCCCATGCACGAGGAGATGTCGGCCTCGGAAGGCATCACTGCGGAGTCCGTCGCAAGTCTCCGGGCCGGCACCGTTTCGCAGGAGCAGCTTGACACCCTGTCACGGGCGTACGCTGGACTGTTGGACCGCTTCAAGGCGCTCGAGAAGGCTTCGTCGCAGGGCGGAGCTGACCCGACGACAGCAAGCCCCCGCGGGGCATCGCGCAACCGCCTGTCTCGCATGAGCATGGCCAAGGGGAAGGTTGCTGGCCGGAACGAGTTCAGTCCGTCGATGGCGACAGCTGCGGGCTCTGCTGGCCTGTCTTCGCCCGGTGCCAGCCCTGCAGGGGCATCCGCGCTGTACCTGAACCCGACGACGCGCAAATCGGTGCGAAGCTCCCGGTCCAAGTCGTCGCTGCTCAAGTCTCCCAGCTCGGCACGCTCCCCCCTTGTGCTTGGCACTGAGTCTCCACTTCACGTTGTGGGCGCAATGCCACCGCCACCGCCATCGGCCAGGCCGAAGAGCGGTGCAGCTGCGGGCAAGGGTCCTTCAAAGCCCTGATTGGCATCCCCACGTCTTCCCATCTTTGGTGGTGCCTCGTGACATCACACCCGGCCTCGAGAGAGCGGCTTGCTCCTGAGCTCTCGAGGCAACGGCGTCCCCAACTCGTTGCCTTGGATTGATCGACTCGTTTGAAGTTCGTTCGCGCATTTGCGCATTTCTGTTACCAGCGTTATGTCGTGCCACTTTGCTGCAACTGGCGTCCGTTCTCCCTGGTGGGAGACGCGTTCTTGCCTGCAGTGGCTGGCTTGCTGCTGCGTCAGCGAGATGCTGACGCGGTGCGGTGCTTTCAAGCCCGCTTTCGCTCCGACCAGAGTCTGGCTCCTATTTTCGGCTCGTATTCATATAGGAGGAGCCCGATTGCGTGCACTGGCCTGCCTGCGCAGTCTTGTGCTCTCGATGAAGAGGCGCATGGTCTGTCGCACTTCGCGCCACCTGTGGTGGCGGGTGTGGCCATGTTTCCAATCCAGAGCTCCCCTCAACGCAGTCACGAGCTGCCGCCACGTTTTCCGCACCTGGGCCACACACTCTCGTCGCAGTCCCTGCGTTGGCGAGGCTGCGGCCAACACAGTTTTTAGCTGAATGATGCGAGACAGAAGCGAAAAAGGAAGCGTGCCTCAACCAGGGATCGAACCTGAGACCTCGACATTACTAGTGTCGCGCTCTACCACTGAGCTATTAAGGCTGGCACGAGCGAGTGCGTCGAAAAGTACATATACATTTGATAGTGGATTTTCCCCAGTGAGGCCTTTGCCAATCAAGCCTGCTGTTGCTTTTCAGCAGAACTTGCTTTCTTATTGAGTTTTTGCGTACCTGTGTCAATATGTCTCCCAGCTTGCGGAAGGCCTCAGCATTTTGGCCATGTTTCGGCTGAGCCGTGCACACTTTACGCGACAATGTATGGAGGATAAGACCGTCGATTTCCCCGCCTCTTTGGCCTGCGCTGCACTGTCCAACAGTACCGAAATGCTCGTGATGTGCACGCCAGCCTCGAGCACATCGCCGCTGCCGATTGCTTGTGAGCCAAGGTACAAGAGTTCGGGCATCGCCACTCCCGGTTCCTCGCTGGTCATGCTCGAGGCAGGTCAGAGGCAAAGACGTTGAAATTGCCCGGGGCTCGCTTTAGTTTGTGCGCAACCAACAGCAGCAGGAGCGATTGAGCACGTTCACAGTCGCACGAGTCGCTTGCGGGCTTCATTGACGAGAGTGTAGCCCACGTGGCATTGCTTAGCAAGCCATTGTAGCCTGCGAGGCATTTTGCACAGAGAAGCGCAGTCGCCATGGCAAGCACTGCGTGTTGCCTAGCGTGCATCATTTCAGATCTGGCTGTGGAACACGTGGGCCCTGGCACCGAGGCTGGCTGGGCCGCATCCAGAACCCTGCAACTGCCCGCCCCAACGCGAGGCGTCAAGCACCCGCCGGCACTACCAGGGCGAGGTAACAATGAGCCCCAGCTGGCAATTCTCCGCCCCGCGCGGCGAGGAACCAGTTGAGAAGGGCGGCCCGAAGATTGCCTCGTCACTGAACATGGATCTGAGTCACAATCCGGGACATTCAAGGTGAGTCGGAGTGGCCCGGTGGTTGTGGCCTCACAGATGGGAAGCAGGTTGTCCAGGGGAGCGCGAGAACGGCCGTTGTGTTTTCCAGAGGGGCTGATCGGCCGTTCCAAACAGGCTAGACGCGGACCACGAGATTGCAGGGATTGCTCGGTTGAATGCGCGAGCCGCATAAAATCGCGTAGTTTGAGAAAAATGTGGTCTCGAGGGCGCACAGCCGGAAGAGGAGATTCTATCGGAAAGCTGGAGGGCAACAGGCAATCGTTTTGTGTCTTTCCTCGCAAGCCGCGACGGCGGGGGGAGGATTCATCTCGCGATGGTCACCGACCCCGGCAGTGCCAGGATAACGCTCGAAGGCGAGAGGCAGACACTACTGGCAAGCGGAACTTCCCGTCTTGAGGGCCCCTGGTCTGATCCCCCCCCCCTTCCCTCTTCTCTCGCACAATCAAACTGAAGGGGGACCCTCTGTGCACGGCTTGGACGGGAGCCCCTCAAGGTTGACGACGTGGAAAGCAAAACAACCTGTTGAAACTTGGCACTTGAGCGGTTGGACACGACGATGCGGTTCATCATGGCTGGTGGAAGCTGGGCAGCGTGATGCACAAGGCCAAGTCCGGAAGTACCAGCTAAACTGCAATGCCGCCCAAACGACCAACCAAACCAGAGGGTTAGCTGAACAAACTTTCGGCTGACACTGGAGCAAAGCACTATCAAACAGTGCCACAGCCGGAGTGGAAACAACAGAGGAAGCACAGCAAGCAGAAGCGCTCGTGAACAAAGAGTGTGCAAGGTTTCCAATGTCCAAGCCGACCTCACAAGTGCCTGTCAAACCAGGCTAAACTGATTCTTATTGTACAAGCATTGGAAGTGTCAAATTTTCTGCAAGTACTGATATTTCCGCTGTCGGCACTGGCATGCGGGTTCATGGCTGAGCGGTTGCCTGCGGGTGTGGAAAACGCCTGCAAAGGTTGCCAGTGATTGCAGAACAACGTGGTTCGCGGAGAGACATTTGCAATATCTTGCATTGAAATCTCCTTGTTCCGGACGCAATCAAGTTGCGACGGTTGTGATTGTCAGCCACTGATATCGCAATCACCGCGCGAGCACCACCCTGAACTTTTGTAGTCTGCTTGCAAACTCAGCGCTTAGACAGCAGATGGTGGTTGGCTGCATGTCGCACAGTCGCACTGAAAGGACCCGTCATACTCTCCAGCACCAAGCACATGGTGAACTCAGTCCTGATTTTCACAGCCTGTCGAAGTTGAAACCAGTTTCCCAGCCCCAATCAGTACGCCCATGAACTAGCAATGTCTGAATTTCTCGAAGACACACGCGATCGGATCATCAAGGCCGATAGTTTGATTTTGCGAAGCCCGGCCAGTCAGCTGTGTTGCACGACGCATCACAAGTTTTGCAACCATGCATCCAGGTGGCCGCGCAACATGGATGCCTCGTACACCTAGCTTCAGACGACACGCTGTCATCGGTGCAATCCGTACAGTTTCTGTTGCAACGCGCTGTTGCGACTCCTTGTATTAGCCGATTCTGCTTTTTGAGCAGCACCATGTTCGTGATGCGGATTGATTCATTATTTTTTGCATGTCTCATTGTTGCTTTCGTTGGTTTGGCTTCGCTCTTTTTGAGCGCGGTTTTGACAATTGTTTTCCCGCTGCCTCTTCTAGTTGGCCTCCCACGCCCCAGATTGCTCACATTGTTGAAAAGTTTCGGACAACTATTCCCTTGCGATGATGTTCGAGAGTGGCGGCAGCGTTGTTGCCATTTTGGACGTGGCGAAGCCAATGTGTTCTTGTTTGCAGCGCATTTTTGATCCTCTGTTTTACGTTGCTTTACCAGTTTCCTCCGTGTATAACAGCTCCGGCTTCCGCGCGATGCTATGGATGCTTCACGCCGGCTTGGCAGTACTTTGACGCTTGATGCTTGTCTACTCCGACGAGCGACTTGGTTGATTGGTGTGCTTCAACTTTTTGGAGCTCTGTTGGCTTGTCGATGCTTCGCATGCGTTTGTCGCGGTGCTGCAAGTTTGTGGTGCCGTCAGGTCTCGCGAATGTGGCCGGAGACTTGCTCGCTTCTGACAGTTGCTGGCACGCACCCTTGTTGTGCGTCTGGTTGCTTTCCGGCCCTCTGGGCTCCAGGCCCAACTTAGCTCTTTGGTCGTGCCCTTTGGTCAACTGCTCCAATCTATGAGCAGACTGTTTTACAGGACCACTTTCAGCTTGTCAGACAAGTCACTGGCTTGAACCGACATGGGTTCGTGTTGCTGCCTGGTGCTTGTTGGCTGCCTTATTCTGCTTCCAGAAGCGGGTGCCCAGTGTGGGCGGGAGCGATTCTTGCGCTCACCGAGACGTTGTTCACTCAGCACAACCTGGCGAAGCTGACACACATTCCCTGGTTGCCTGGCATGTGATGCTTGGCGATCAGCAGGCTCATGCTGTCTTGGTTGCAGGTTTACTTGCCCCGAATGGGTTGTCTTGAACTGCCATTCGCACCGCTGCAGCGAGCGGAACGAAGAACCAAGGGGCGTTGAGGGCGCTTACCAGCACCGGGAACGCGGTGGAGGTCGAGCCATCGAGCTCCTCCATCATGATGACGAAGACATTGGTCATGATGACACAAGCCCACGCCACGGTGGGCAGGCGGGCGGCCTTGTTGCCCACCCAGTAAGCCCAGACGGCCCAGGCGTAGAACGGGCCGAACAAGAGGCTGTCGCTCCAGATTGTGGCGCGCCACCATGCCGCCCGGGCAATGAGCGGGGGATCAAAGTTGCAGCCGTACCAGCGGATGATGTCGACGGCTTGCGATGGTGGCCACGCGGGGTAAGTCGGCCATGCGCCAAAGACTGTCGCGCCTCCGGCGCCCCACGGGACAACCTCGCGCAGAGCTTCGCAGCGCGTTCCGTCTGCGGCTGGTGGCAAGCGCGGGGTGGGGGGGGGTGGCTGTTGGGGGCGGGCGGGCCTGCGCGGCAAGCTTGTGGTTGCGCAAGGGTCGACTCCGCACTCAAGGCCGCCCTAGCGGCCCGCACCGCCCTCACCTGGGTCCGGGTTCGCTGGCGCAGTAATCTGCTCAATGTCGACCACATAGGTGATGACGAAGAAATTCAGCAGGAAGAAGCCGATGAGCGCCAAGTCAAACGGCCGAGCCCAGATTGGCAGAGGCCGGGGAGCGCGAGCAGCCATGGTACCGCAGCACGCTCAAGCAAGGCTTCTTCCTTGCGAGGCTTCCCCAGCCTGGTTGCACCAGCGGGTTGGAAGGGTGCCTCCAGGGCCCCGGCGAGCGCGTTGCGCAGCACCCGCAGAGCCACAGCTTCAATCGCGAGGGTTGCAATTTGCCGGCCCTGCCTGCGACGGTCGCTCTCGTGCACCCCAGCGCCAAGGAGGGAGGGGTGCACTCCGCTTCAGAGCCATGGAAGCGCAGGGCGTTGCCGTGCCGTTGTTGGAGTTCAGTGCAAGCTTCCGCACTGTGCAAAAGCTGGCGGAGCGCGAGGTGCACGCGCTGCAGTCCGAATTCGAGGCTGCTGGAACATTTTCAGCGACGGCGCTTGACCGCGCTGCAGCCCTTCACCGGCAGCTGGCCGACTTCAAGCTGCAAGGCAGCCGTGCTCTGACGACGGTTGCGGACCGGTGGGACGAGGCCGGCTGGTCTCAGCCCCTTTCGGGTGCGCAGACGGATGAACTTGTTGCAGAGTTCTTGCATCGGTGAGGGTTCGCCCTCGGTCCCATACGGTCTACATTGGTTGTTGTCTGGCCCCGGGGACCAGTGGGAGCGTTAGCGTCCGCCCTCTGAGTCCGCGATAGGCGGGGTCTTGAGGTCGTTGCACAGTCAGCCGGCTGCTTGCGCGCGCATGTCGATTGCTGTCGCGCAGAAACGGGTTTCCGCAGGCTGCTTCCAGGCTTGCTGCGGAAGCTCGAGGCCATGTTCCTTGGAGAAAAGACGCCCCGTCGCTTTCATGCCGGCTTGCTGTCGATGAGGCGGTGCTAGTGTCCATTTCCGGCGCCGCATTGGCGCTTCGGGCCGGCAACCTGGAGCCGGCGCTGCAGTGGGCGATGGACCACGCCTCCCGCTTGCGGCGAGTCGGGTCTTCGCTACTGCTGGAGCTGCGCGTGGCTCAGTT